GAACGCCATCGAGGAAGCGATCGAGATGTATCAACTGCTACAAAAATGGGATGAAGCGTTGAGCATTGCTAAGGCTGTGGTAAGAAGCTTCCAAAACCATGTGTCAGGCTAGTACGCGCGCGGCTGTGGTACGAGCGGCTGACGATGATCACCATTCCTTTTGACGCGCACGTACTAGACAGATCTTCTGATGATTGTACGTATGAATAGGCAAATGACTGAGGGTAACTATTCAGAACTACCCTGGTTTCGAACAACTCAAAGCGAATTACTACAGAACGTTGTTTGATACAGGGCGAGATGCAAAAGCAGCAGAGGTGAGTTCTCGGTTATACTGATTGTCTTTGGGTTCACTAGCAGTTTTGACACTAAAAAGATGGTGGTCCTAGCCGTTTTCAGTTGAAAATAGCCGACGGCGACATAGCCGGTGCTGTAAGCCTATACGTGAAGGCGAAAAAACCTGTACAAGCTTTGGAAACCGCGTTGACGGAACCATCACTTGCCAATAATCACCAGCTTATGACTTCGATTGCTTCACAGCTCATGCAGTCCCAGATATACGACAAGGTGAGGAGGATCTTGAAGCCACTTATATGTCGCTTCAGGATCCTTTATAGAGATTGTTAAGCTTCGGATGACATTCTGTTCTAGGCTGGAGAGCTCTTCGAACATATGAAGGACTTCGAGAAAGCGCTTGAATGCTATACAAAAGGTCAAACCTTCAACAAAGCTATTCAGGTAGGGAAACTGCTAGACGAGAGAGTTCGGAGAGAGGGAGGAGTGACTGGTCACTGGAAGTGAGGTAATAACAAAACGAGTTATCAAGATGTACTGTATATAGCGATTTATTGGTTTTTGAAAAATCTCTGGTTTTCCGGGTGTTGCAGTTCCATTTCAGGTAGCATTACCTTCTCAAAACGTTTTTCCCTACCCCTCCCCCATTGTCAGCATTTTTTGTTGGATAGACATGGGGAGGGTGATAGTTCGTGGGGCAATTCAGGTAACAGTATGACCAATCCGAGCGTCGCTATGCTTCACCCTTGGCTTGGCTATCTGATTACTCTTCTCCGTTTATGCTATTTATGACTATATTCATACCCTAACGGGAGCAGGTGGTGCAGTGGCAAGTGGCGCACTTTACACACACATGTTCACGGGTTCGAATCCTGGATCGATATCCGCCTAGGCCAACCAAGGCTTTCATCCCTCCGGGGTCAGTTTATTGGTAACAGACTCGTCTAGAAGGATAAAACTACTGATTTGTACATCAGCTGGCTACCGCAAGTCATTGTGTAGGCCACATACACACTCATTACGCCACTACGATTCTGAATGGAAGACGAGTGCCTGGTGCATCCCTCAGACGGAATTGAGTAATGCCCAGGACTCCATTCTTTATCATTTATTCGCACCTGAGTAACTTTCAGCTAGCTCGCTTCGCTGCACCAGAACAAGTGGTTCAGTTAGAAGAGCAGTGGGGTGACTATCTGGTATCGGAAGGGCAGCATGACGCATCTATAAGTCATTTTCTAGGTAAATTCTTACCTTCAATCAATGAGTAATATCCTATATTGATGGTAGCGTTTTCAGAAGCGAACAGCCTCATCAAAGCAGCTGAAGCCGCCATTGAAGCAAAGGAATGGGGGAAGGCCTTGCAGATCGTGGATGTGATTCGTGATTCGCAGATATCGAGCGACTTCTATGGAAGAATCGCTGCTCATTATGCGACAACAGATGAGCTGGACGTGCGGCTGAGCTTTTATAGCTTTATATTTCTTCGAATAAACTCTGAGCTTATCTTGACTATGATCATTCAGCGAGCCGAACGCCTATATCTGGAGGCAAATCTGCAGAAAGAAGCCATAGCAATGTATATCAAAAACAACAGATGGGCAGACGCCTACAGGGTAAGACTTTGGCGTTCCTTTCCTTGAGCGTAGCCGTACAGCCGAACTCATTGTCACCTTACGCTGGGGGTAGCATGGGCTACTTCAAAACATTCGCTCCGCTGACGCTTAGAGGTGCTGCAATTCCATCTCGAGATCGTAGTGTGGGCAGTGTCGTGCTTGAAAGGGGTGGGGTGGCTAGATTCGACGGAAGCAGGGAAC